GTATCCACACTTTACCTAACGTTTTAATATTAAGTATTTATCCAACATATAAATATTGTATAACTTTCTGATAGGTAAGATTACTTTAAAGGAATCCAAGATCACATATTTAAGTTTATATAGTTCTATTAAAGGGGCATCTTTTGTAACGAAGTATATATCTTATGATCAGTTGAATTAATTAATTTATAAATGACTAATACATTTTGGGCACTCTGAGTAAAATTAATTGTCAATTCCTTTTTGAGCTATACTCAATTATGCAACACACTATCGCTTTAAATCATGCTCTCACATTTCGCGGATTACTTTTAGAACTATGTAAGGAATCATTATTTAAATATGAAATTTTAATATACTAGTGAGCGATGATGACATTTTCAACTAGTGTTACCGTTGATCTCGACTGCTTTGTTTATTATATGCACAATATTAATCATGGTATATTGTAAGGTTTTAGATACCAATTGAGTTACGTTGGTTTAATTAGTGTGTTTCGCTTTAGGTCCGAGTACAGTTCTAAATTTTCATTTCAAAGTTTTTTGGCAGGGATTCAGAATTATAACGAAAATATAATTTTCTTATTCTCTGATTGATTTCGTGTACTTCATTGTTTTTTCTTGGCCGAATTCACAAAAATTATTATGGAAAATATGAACTTGTTTAATACAGGAAAGTATTATAAAGTTTTGAAAGTCTTTAACAAGTTTCCAGAAATTTGCACACGTTTTCGAAGATTAAAGATAAATCTCGAAATATTTTCACAAGTTTGCAAATTCAATTTTTTTAATAAAATTCTTAATAGTTTAACAAGTTTGTAAACTATTAGAAATCTAGTTTCATATATTTTTAATAGTTTCACATATTATAAACTTTTGAAAGTCTTTAACAAATTTTCGGATGATTTTTGTGTAATTCGTTTTCTCTTTTTTAGTTACTTGATTTTCAAATTATCAATGTTATTTACCTAATTTTCAAGTCATCCATAGATAGTTTGTGAAACTACTCAAAAGTATAAGACGAATGACTACCGACGAACACCCAACCTCTCTCTCTCTCAGCATTTATCCAAAAACTATTTAAATTCTAGTTTCTTATAATAAAAACCCATTTAGCAAATTATGAAACCGAATGTGCTATACTCACCTTGATTCCTCATTATTTTGTAGGTATTTTTGGTATAGTATATTTGTATTTATTATAGTAGTATCAGAGAAGCAAAGGTAAAAATGAAATCAATCGGGAAAATTGTAAAAATGTCACTTTTTATGTGCACATTTACAAAAATATCATTTAGGGGTGTTCATTTGCAAAAATGCCACT